CCTTGTTGTCATGGAGAAAAGGAAAATGGTTGTTAACAGCAATCGAAGCTGTGTGCCTGCAAACAATGGGGAAAGTGAGTGAAGGGAGGAAGCAAATACTGTGGATTAGTAAGTCAAATTCACTTTTGTGAAAAATCACATTCAAAATGATACACATTTCTCTGGCCTTTTAGGTCTATTATGTATAATGGCATTCGACAGTCATTTGCCTGTGCATACTTTTCGTTTACCTCCCTCTCTGCTACAAATGCAGAGAAATATATTAGCTTTGTATGCTTGTTTGATAGTAGTGCAATGTAACTTTTTGTCTGAAAAAAGACAGAGCTAAATCTTAATTTTCTTGGCTTAGTCCAAGTTGCAAGACATGAGCTTGGTACCTTTGGTTGAATGGGTAAAATGCAAAAACCCAATGCAACGTAGGGATGTCATGAGCATCCAGATACAGCTCACACACTGAGCCTATGATAGCAAGTGAAAAGCACAGAGATGCAGCCTGATCCTGTCCATGATTACAAAGATAGTCAATAGTTGGCAGTGCAGGTCACGATACAGCATTGAAGCATAGGACCAGACTGTAAGTGAATTGGAGATGTGCCTTCACGGTTTTTCGAGGTTGGTGCCTAATTTCCAACACAGGTTGTTCCAAGCAAGCGGTGACTTTGACCCAAAGGGATGGTATGGTGGCTCAGTGGTTAATACGGCTGCCTCACAGCGCCAGGGACCCGGGTTTGATTCCACCCTCGGGCGACTGTCTATGTGGAGTTTGCACGGTTTCCTCAGGGTGCTCCGGTTTCCTCCCACAGTCCAAAGATGTGCACGCTAGGTGGATTGGCCATGCTAAATTGCCCGTAGTATTCAGGGATGTGTAGATTAAGTGAGTTATAGGGGGATGGGTCTGGGTGGGATGCTCTGAGGGTCAGTGTGAACTAGTTGGGCCAAAGAGCCTGTCTCCACACTGTAGGGATTCTATGATTCTACAAATCCACCAGGTGCTAACTTTGGTTTCCTGGTCAGGATTTCTCAAAATTTGGCTTGTTGAGTGAGTTTGATAAAATGGGATTCTGAATGTTAATGAAGCATATTGTTTAACACCACAATCAATAATGACCATCTTGACATTGCCTGGTAAGAATCTTGCCATATCTCTTATGACAAACATAAAAGATGAAACAAGGTGATCTCCATATTGAGATGGGCCTTGTGCACTTGTTTCCCGATTCTGCCACCCCTCTCAGCCATAGCCGCTCAGATCCCTGTCAGATTTCTCATGTGAATTTTATACCATAAATCCAATATAATTGATTACGTGTCTGTTTGTATTCCACATAACTTTTGCCCCACCCTATTACAACTAACTTTCAGTGTAAGTTTTCAAATTATTATTGTGGTTTTACAGATTCTCTTCATTTCAACAGATGACATTAGCAACAAGATGTGATGTGCTTGGTCTTTATCGAAGAATTTTCAGAATAGCAAGAACATGGCAGTCACTATCAGGACTATCTGAGGACACTATGAAAGAAAGAGATTACATTATCACAGAGGCCAGAACATTGTTCAAAAAAAATAAAAATGCAAGTCTCAATGTTTTAATTTATGGCATGTTTACTGCATTTATATATATAAGATATAAAGGTTTTGAGCAAATTATTCATTTGTTTCTTTTCTTACCCCCATCACCATTCCCTTTGACCCTGTAAATCCAACTGTTCAGTCATTTAATCTCCTCGGTCTTCCACCGAAGTCACATACCTCCCTTTTGTCCGTTGTCCAGCTCATCCCTCCAACTCTGAATACTTATCGGAGATTACTCTCAGGTTGAGTATTCCTATTCGAGGTTTGATTCCAGACTGTGTTTCACTGGTTTCTGCTCATACGTGCAATTATTTTTCTATTATGACTTTCAAGATCACTTTGAAGTGACTCATTAAGCTTATGTGACCTGGAATGATGTTGTAACACAGTAGTAGTGTCCCTACATCTGAGCCAGGAGACCAGGTTCAAGTTCCACCTGCTTCAGAGATGCGTAATAACATCTCTGAATGGGCTGATTTCAATAAAAATCCCTATTTCTAAATTAATTGCTCTCCATTGTCTTAGGTTTCTTGGGTAATAACAAATAATCAATGTGATAAGTCACATGGCATGTACCTTTTGGTATATATTTGATCACAAGTTTGTTATCACTTGTAATTCTGTTTCTCCAAGGGTTTTTAGATGTTCTGTCATTATTTCATCTATGATAAAACAAAGAACTGTGGATGCTGGAGATCTGGAACAAAAACAGAAATTGCTGGCAAAGCTTAGCTGGTCTGTCAGCATCTGTGGGAGAAAGCAAGAGTTAACATTTCGAGACTAGTGACTTATCATCAGAACTGTTGTTATTATATCTTATTGGCCTGGATGAATTTCCTATGCTCCTCAATTTCAAAGCAGTCTTTACTCTGTTATTCTAGTACTTTAGCCATTGTTTGCCTCTAAGTCTTGCGCACTGTCTCAAGTTGGATCATTCTGATAATAGTTTAAATGTGTAAGAGTTGTGAAACTAATTTTGTTCATTATGCATCATATTTTGATCCATGTCAACTTTGTTATCCATTTCTGACCCTTACACTCCTTAGCTACTGCCTTTCTCTCTCCAGGATGAGCTTTCTGTAGATATGAATTATAAGCGTAATGACTTCTGCAAAAACCTGGATTATACTACCTTCTCCCCAAGCCTGTAGAAGGGTTCCTATCCTCCATCTGCTCTCTCAACTCCATCTTCCATACTATTTGGTTGCTTAATGATGAAGTAGAATTATTTAAACTATTGACAGTACAAACTGCACATTATATTCACAGGAATACATTCAGTACCAAGAAATTTCTACCATCATGCACAAAATATAGCTACTTAAATGTGGCCACATCTCAGCCTTCGTAATGTAGGCATGCTGTCAGCAGGGGATAAATAGATAAGAGCAAGAGGCTTAAATGATTTTTTTTCTTCCCTGTTTGAGCTTTTACCAAGCTCCTGACCTTTAGTGGAATGGATGATGACGTGTATTGTGATATGAATTATACATTTTACTTTCAATAATGGGCATTTATATAACCCCTGTAGTATAGAAATACAGCCCAAGGCACTTCACTGAAGGATAATTTTACAAAAAGAGGTGCAGAGCCAAAGAAGCAGCTTTTAGGAGTGTGGAGCCAGCAGCTTTAGATAAATCGTAGTGAGAGGGAGGATCTGGGAAAAAAAATCAAAGGCTGCTGAAAAGAGGACAAGGAAACTGGCACCATACAAGCACAGTCCCAAGGGATATCTTTTGTGATTTGGTTAGGGCTATTTCCATTTGATAAGAGTGATGTGACTATTCAGTTAATTCCTAATCAATAGCTAGGCCACACTGCATGAGTAATAAACCTCATTAATCTTTACACTGGTTGATCTCTGAATAAATTTTTTTATACACATATCTGTAGGCAATAAAGTGATCTATCTGAAAGACAAAGATCCAACTAATTGTCTGTTCTGTACCTGTGATGATCAAGCACTTCCTTAAGCCTGAAGTGAATGCATCACATTTAAAGTTCTAATTGAAAATGGTGGTAGCTTAACGTTTACACAAAGACAAAATACTACAGTTGCTGGAACTCTGAAATAAAAACAGGTCTGGCAGAATCTGGAGTGTGAAACAATTAACATTTCAGGTTGATGATCTATCATCAGACACAAAACACCTTTTTTCACTCTTCTTGAATATGATCTGACCAATGCATTTTCAGAATTTTCAATATTTATTTGTATTAAATGTTTTTTTAATTGCCTGCAATATTAATAAACTTCTTTTCTAGTTAACAGATGCAGAAGCAATTAAAATCTGCATACAGGAATGTCAAACAAGGATAGAAATGGGTAAGAATCATTTAAGAATTTATCAATACTTGTAATTTCTTACGCAAGTAACTTACAGGGTATAATGTTTGTTTTTGAATTATCTTAATTTCTTTTGCAGGACTACATTACAGAATTCCATATCCTAGACCAGTAAGTTACCACCTTTACGTTGAAAACATGTTCTACAATTTCTTTGATCAACAAATCAAAAGAGCTGAGCTTTAGAGGTGAGAATGATTATCCTTGACATCTAGGCTATATTTGACCATGTGTTGCATCAAGGAGCCGTAGCAAAACTCAAGTCAATGGGAATTAGGGGGGAATCTCTCCACTGTTTGGTGTCATACTTAGCAGAAAGGAAAATGGTTGATGTCAGATATTAATTGTCTCAGTTCCAGGACATCTCTGCAGGCGCTCCTAAGGATAGTGTCCTAGGGTCAACCACGTTCAACTGATTTATCAAAGACTTTCCATTCTTCATAAGGTCAGAAGTGGAGATGTTTGTTATTGATTGTAAAATGTGATTCCGTGACTATGACAATGTCAGGCTGTTGCTTTACAGCTTTCCCAATTCTGGTTCAAGACCCCAGTAGGAAGGACTTTAGGGGTCAATATGGTTTACTTTGCTGCTGTTGTTTCTGACGCTTAGGTTGGTGCTGGGAGTCCATTCAGTTTCATTCTTTTTCTTAAATTTTGTAGTGTATGATACAACTGAATGGCTAGGCCTAAAGGCAACCAAATTACTATGGACCTGGAGGCAGACCGGTTAAGGATAATTGATTTTGTTCCATAGAGAACATTAGTGAATCAGATGGGTTTCTCCAAAAATTGACAATGATTTCATTGTTACTTTTAAACCAGCTTTTAATCCCAGATTTATTGAATTGTGCCATGGTTGGATTCAAACCTATTTCCCTAATGCATTAGACTCTGTCTCTGGATCACTCTTCCAGTGACTATGCCACTACTTCCCCTTCTTGTAATAGGTTAAATTTTCAGCAGAGAAACTTGGGTGGTTGGGTTTGTGGTTATACAGACATTCTGTTGTGTGAAAAACAGTTGCTTTAAGTGTTTACATTGACTGCAAAAATTAGCAAAAGAACTGTAGTCAGACACTGAATCAACAGCTAGCTCTTCATGTTCAGTTCAGTGTAATGAATAAGTGCTTATTTGAAATTAAACATCGTTTTATTTAAAAAGATGAGGTTGAAGGGAACAATAAAAATTAGAATCTGTTACTGGTTAAATTTGGTGGTCTTGCGCTACCAGAAAGAAACTGTGTTTTGTCAGAGATAGGCTATAACACTGTAGGCCCAATTATCTGACCTTGCATCTTTTAAATAACATTTCTTGGAAACTCAAAGTACCATTACTCATTACATGTACTCATTTGAAATTATATACAGAATGTATCAGTAAATGTGGATTGGAAAGAAAAAGCTACAAGGTGTAGCACGGGGCGGCACAGTGGCTTAGTGGTTAGCACTGCTGCCTCACCGCACCGGGCACCCGGGTTCAATTCCACCCTCAGGTGACTGTCTGTGTGGAGTTTGCACATTCTCCCTGTGTGTGCATGGGTTTGCTCCGGTTTCCTCCCACAGTCCAAAGATGTGCACGCTAGGTGGATTGACCATGATAAATTGCCTGTAGTGTTCAGAGATGTGTAGATTAGGTGGGTTATAGGGGGATGGGTCTGGGTGGGATGCTCTAAGGGTCAGTGGGGGCTTGTTGGGCCAAAGGGTCTGATTCCACACTGGAGAGTTTCTATGAAAACTAAGATAAGCTGTACCTCTGAAGACCGACAGCCTCAGGATGGGGCCTATGAAGCACAGAAGATCGATACACTCCCCGGGCTCCTGGCCAGTGTTATCCCCTCATACTGAGACTGAAACCCAGCGTGCAACCTGTTAATTTAGTCACTTTGGCCTTGGCTTGCTGACGTTCCTGAGAGGATGAAGTGTTCGTGCTAAACAAAGACGGCGTCAAAGAAGCACTTCTGAGAGTGTCAGGGATGTAGGGATCCAACCCTAATAACTAGTAAACCTGGTCCAAATCTAGCAGTACACCTCATTAGTAACTTGTAACTATTCCTTCGCAATAAACCACTTGTTAATTAGTGCTGACTTTTTAAAATGAACTTAAAATTTGGGAACGAGGAAAGTGTATTATATACACTAATTCCATATGATGAATTACACAGCAAAAAATCAGATTTTCAGTGGTTTTATTGTATAGTATATGATACAACCCTTTCCCTTTCAGCTCCTCTTATATTTTAGAAATCCAACCACCAATTACCCAATTAACAAATACAGAAGTTCAGCTTATTTTTAAATTTTGGAATTTTTAAAAAAATATAATGAACCTGAGCAGGTGGGCCTTGAACCCTTATCTTGTGATACACAGGTAAGAATGCCAGCAATGTACCACAAGAGCCCTTAAGAACTCCGCTTTTTCCTTTCGTTAGTAGTTTTAAAAGGATGAATTTTGAGACTGCTTTCAGCTCCACCCAATCTGATGATGTCACATACACTGATGTGGAGATGGGGCAGAACATCTTAAGATCTTGTGGAGTGCAGACTTGCATCCACAAGTCTCCTCACCGACTTGGTCATAATGTCCAATAAACTAATGTAGATGTTTTTAATCAATCTGTTCAGACATGTTACAGTGTTATCTGGAGCATGTGGGACTTTAATCTCGGCTTTCTGGACACTTTCAAGTACATGTTAAGAGGGCCTCAGTCAAATGTGTCTCAGCTTCATGACAGCACAGCAGACCCTCGGTACTGCTCTGTGTCTACTAACATGCAGCCATAATTACATGCTCAGGTTTAGAGCACTCAATCTTGTGAGCAAACGGTAAACCTGTTACCATTGAGGCACAGCTAACTTTTCAGACCACGGATCTTTTTCTTTGTAGACCCACCATTAATCACCCGTTTGAAGAATTAAACAAATAAATTGCAAGAACTGGCCACCAGGGGCAGTGCAACAATAACAAAAAGGAGGAGTGGACAGAGAACGTAGGGACTAAATCAAAATGAAGGGAGAGTTAATGCATTCCAGCCTGCATGGTTCCCACTTCTCTCCCAGTCTTGGTGGACACAATATGCTCCCTGTATAAGGACACCTGGACACAAACAGAACTCGGATTTTTTTTTTGAAAGCCCACCACCAAACCACCTGATTAACAAATTTAAAAAAAGAATTACAACCATTGCCTACCAAGGTGTGAAAAGATGAAAATAGGTCACCTTTTCATAAACTAAGATTAATTGCACTCCTTAATTTACACCCATTTTATCTATTTCTTTTTCACCACAATCAATAACTTCTGAGGAAGGGTCACCGGAATGGAAATGTTAACTGTTTTCTCCTTCACAGATGCTGCCAGACCTGCTGAGCTTTTCCAGCAACTTTGTTTTTGTTCCTGATTTACAGCATCCACAGTTCTTTTGGTTTTTAATCAATAACCTCTTTGTCTTTTGCACTAGGCCTCCATACCATCTATTCTCTTTGCTCCTCCTCCTAAAGTATAACAATTCCCATTTTCCAACCCCTTTCCATTCTGAAGAAAAGTTTTATAATGGATTCAAAGCATTAACTGTTTGTCTCTCCTTGAATCCTGTCATATTTGTTGAGTTTCTCCAGCATTTTCTGTTTGTTTCAAATTGTCATCATCCACAGTATTTTGCTTTTGTGAGCCAGAAGGTCGGGGTTCAAGGCCCACCTGCTCCAGAAGCGTGTCATAACACATCTGAACCATTTTAGAAGAAGAAAATCAGGAGTATCCTTCGAACCATACATGCCGTGGCTGTCAGACTGTTGTGTGACGGATAAAGGGAGGTACAACCTGTATATGTGAATTTGACCGCAATGCTACTTATTGAGATTGTAGATTCATGTCGTACCTTTACCTTTCTTCATATTATTTACAGATACACTTGCCTCCTATGGGACTTGCTGATAAAAAGGGACGTAAATTTAAATTGCAAGAAAGGCTGAGGAAAATTGCTAAACCAGTGTATCTACAGTCACACGAGGAGATGTAATGGTGGATGGGATCATCTACTTTTATACTGTTTTCTTTGATCACATGAATATGATTTATTATTTAAGTGGTTTACATTGTAGTTTATTTCTGGAAGTAAAATTTCTGTTCTGAAAAGAAAATAGCCTCCAGCAAATTGTTTGAATTAGGATGTTTGTACAATTATTAGAATGTAGGGCAATCCTGAAACAAGTTATTTTTAACTTAGTTTATTGAACATTGAAAAGTATTTTCAATGCAAAAATACATAAGGTTCTTGTAGCACAGTGGTAGTATCCTTCCCTCTGAGCTAGGAGGCTGAAGTCAGTTGTCTAATAACATCTCTGTACAGATTGATTGAAAAATATCTAGAAGAAACTCCCTGTGCTACACTACAATTTTGCCTGAGCACTTCTGGGCCTGTTGTGTTCCTGTAGTATGAATAGTGTAGTGTGGTGGGAAAGTGCATACAGTGCTGAGGATTTGCACATTGCTTTTGAGTCAGTTTCCTTAAGGCTCCATACTTTGTACAATATATACTCTAAAAGCAGTGTTATCACATCATTGTAGTACTTTGTCTGACTTTTCTTTCCCTCTGTGCTTCAACTTTATTCATTCTTAGGGCTGAGCACCATTGGCAATGCCAGAATTTATTCATGTCCCTGGTAGCCCTTGAGATAGTGATACACCTTCATGTAAGGTTGAAGTCGGAAGTCCATCACAAAACTGTTGGAAGCTGAAGGCTTCAGGTATGACTGTAGCAGTTGCCGCTGTGATGATGAGCCACTGACCTTTGATTCATTAACTGTTCTCGGGTTAGGTTTGGGTTTAGGATTAGAACGTTTGGGAAACCTGAAGCTGACCAGATAATTACTTGATTACTTCCCAGAGAGAAGCAACACAGTTCCTCTGCCAAAGAAGGGGTGTGGCAGTGGTAGTTACTCGTGATTTTTGTCAAATACAAATCATTTTAATATTTAATTATCATTACTTTGTATATCAGAGTAATGAACAGTGTACAAAAGATGCTTTCTGACATAAAATTATTTAATTCTACTTCCCAATTTCCAAGATGAATATACATGATCAGTTCCCCTATCTGGATATTTCCAAAGATTAACAAGATGTTTTTAGTCATCCAACTGACAAAGAGCTGCCACACCACGGTTTATCCAATGTTGTTCTGCTTTATCCGATGAAAGCTCTATTGAAAGTACATAATTTGTTGAGTGGCCAGTTGTGGATAAGGTACCTCTGCGTGCACTGGTTTTGTAGACTGGACAGTAATAGACATTTTGATGCAGAAATGTTGCACTCACTCCTGGTTTAAGCCAGATAATGGGCATAGAGTCAAACAAAATTTTGGGCAGTGACTCCCCAATGACCATATTTTCTCTATCCCAGCGAGCACCTTCCAAAAACAGACCCTTAACATAAGCTCCATCTTTTGGCTTTTGGTCCATATCATTTTCTTCTTTCATGACCTAAAAAATGTAAGAGAAACAAGTCTGAGGTAAAACTTAAGCCATTTTGGCTACATGCCAAGGATAACAAAGAAAAATGTTTGCTAAATACTTTAAAAACATGTTTTGAACAGGGATGCAAAGATTAAATGTAAACATATGATCAAAACTGTAAATGATCAAATATCCTATTAGTATATACTACCTAAGTTCATAATAGAAAGTGACATAAACAAGGATTTCATTTTAGAGAAACATATTGAGGGAAAAGTACAGCAGGAAAAGGAGGGAGAAACCTAGAGCAAGTACAATACTTACCTCAAATTCAAACCCTATGTGATCAATGGGTATGGTATATTTTCTTGCATAATTCTGTGAGACGCCAGTCAGAAAAGATTGAGTAAAATAGAATCCAGATAACCAAAATACGTTGGGTGGTCCTTTATCAATCCATTCCTGTTTATGAAACACGTTAATAAAATGGTGGTATTACATTGATATCAAGTAACAACTTCCATCAAGTAACTTCTTACTACTCCACGTGCTCTTTGTATGCAGATTGGAAGGATCCCATCCTTCATTTTTAAATGTCACTGGTTCAGCACATTGCTTTCAAATGTTGATCAATTCGCAGCAAAAATCCAACCCATCACTACTTATACAAAAATTCTGAATTGTACACTCTGCAAAACTAAAATCGTCGTCATATAATAGCTACTCTCATTTATCCAAGATGTTTCCGTAATATGTTATTTCAGCTGCTTGTATTTCATTCCAATGGTTGTTCCAACCCAGTTTTCCTAATGTTACTACCATTTACTGTCCAAACAAATTCATTCAAAATATAAACTGATATATGGAAACTACAAAGAAGACCTGTAATTAATTTTCTAAAGAAAATCAAATAAAGAGTCTTGGTGAGGAGGATTCCTTCCATTTCTATTCCTGACACAAGTTCCCAGTGATTGTGGAAATTCATGCTATTTCAGATTGAAAAGGGCTTTTATTTGTCCAGGATGAAGTAAAATCGACAATGGATAAAAAGTAGTTTGTAATTTCTTGGTTGTCTTATCTCAAATCCTCAATGTAATTCTCAAATATGGCTCTTAAATTGCAATTAATATTCAGTGTTTTATACAAGGAATTTGTTATGCACAACAAAGCAGGAACAATGCATAACTATATTCTACTGAATAAAATCAAATCACTGTACATGCTGAAAATCTGAAACAAACAATGCTAGAGAAATTCAGCAGATCTGGCAGCATTCTAGAAAGAGAAACGCAGCTAACAATTCATTTGATTTTTTCAGAATTATATTCTAGCAATGTTGAAGTCGTATTTGAGGCATCAAATTTGGCAATCAACAGATAATAAAATATTCCAGCATGTTGACAACTTGTTGTAATGAATCCATATTTATGATGGTGTTTTCTCTTCAGATAGCCAGCAATATGAAATGATTATTACAGCTCAACTCCATATGAAGGTAGAGGTCCTTCACTCACTCATAATGTTGTGCTAGAAGTTTAAGTAAATATATGGTACCTGGAAAAAATGTAGCCTTACAAGAAGATCTGCCACATAACTGCCGAGGGGTTTCAGAGATGGGTAGGATTTGGCTGCCCACGTGGATGGAACTTTTCCCACCAGCATGCTATCGAACACATTCTCTAGTTCAGCAGACATTACCACGAGTCCCTTAATAGCCTTGCGTATGTTTATAAGACTGCTGCGTACAACTTGAGTGAGTCTGAAAGAGAAGTTATTGCAGTGTGTAGAATGCTTTCATAAAATATTTCAACAAAAAATTAGTATATTCTCATTAAACCATTCATAACAGAATCAGTATTTAATTCAGTTCTTAACAGAATTTTCCAAATTTCTTAACATCCATTTCAGATGCTGCATCTCACCACCATTTCCAGGAAATACTTGGACAAATTAAAGAGTGTAGATGCATGGCATAATGGATCTTCTTGCTTTCCTTTTCACCCAAGGAACAGCATTCCTCAAGGTAACAGAAGAAAAATCCACCTTTCTTGCCTCTGCCAACTGGAGCATAATATCCTTGAAGGTACTCCCATCAATCAACTAAAAACTCTTAAGAGTACAGTGGTTATAGATAAATTTAAATAGCATGCAAGGCAGAACGACTTTTTTTATTCAAATTAATTATATTCCAGTATGAAGACCACCAGTAGATTAACACTTGCAACTAACTTAAGAGGCAGTAGGGTTTCACCGGCTAACTAGAGAGCCCAAGCTGCATCTTTTTGGGAAGGTCTATCACATCACAATCCACTGACCTATTTAGCTGAATACAACCGGGATGGAAGTCCTGCCCACTGGAAGCCACTGGCCGAAGACGAGCTACTTTTTGATTGGCAATGGAGGCAGTGATTGCTGCTTTTACAATATCCACCTAATGTTCCAAGATCCTCAACCACCTAGGCCGTAGGTGAGGAATAACAAGATGGGATTCACAGGAGGAAAGTCGGTAGCAACACAGATGTGTTGGTCTAAGCGCACCACATCCCCACTTGCCAATACCACATCCCTCAGTCAAGAACAGAGTGCTCTTCTCCTCACTGAGACGCACTCAGGCAATCCTGTTTGGGTTCATTTATTTTCCCTCCACAGCAGCTGTCTGTCCTCCTTTTGGGTAAATCAAACAGCAGTGGGATCATTCATTAAAATGGACATAATTTGGCAGCAGAGCAGGGACGCCATCCATGAGCCTTTTGACCAGTGATTTAATCTGGATGGAAGTGAAAAGGTGGTGGGATCCCACCCACCATTCTCTTGCCTAATTAAATGCTCCCAACCATCACCACTGAGGGAAAGGTCATTATCTATAATGAAAGTTAACAATCTCGAAAGCTTCTTTGTTGAGCCAAGTGGGACAAGACTGCTCCTCTGCATCTGACCAGGATGGTCACAGTCATTTGTCCTAGAACATGTCCCCTGAATTTCCTGCATATTCACTTACTGCAAGTGGTTGGCCAAGGCTAACCATTCTTTGACAGCTGTAAATTTCTCTGATCTTTGAACTCGACACTCAGAAAACATGTGGATTAACATTTAAATCAGCATCTAATATTCCTAATAGCCACTTCTGTTACTGATAAATTAATTCCCTCATGTGATTTTACATTGTATTAAAATTCCACAAATAGCCTATGCTCTGAACAGCTCGTCTATGACTTTCTGATAACTTCAATGTTTACTCAGACTATTCATATATATTAGTAATGGGAAGAACAAATAAAGACGAAAGGTGAATCAAATTGCTCTGATTACCATAGAACCTGTAAAAGGTTGTATGGATTGGTGTGGATTCTTCACTCATCAGGGATGGTTGCACCTTGATTTGAATCTTTAATAAATACTGTATTAGATTTCAGATTGAACCTCTTCTGAATATAGAGATAGTAGGAACTGCAGATGCTGGAGAATCCGAGACAACAAGGTGCAGGGCTGGATGAACACAGCAGGCCAAGCAGCAGCATAGGAGCAGAGAGGCTGACGTTTCGGGCCTAGACCCTTCTTCAGAAAAGGGGGCGGGGAAGAGGGTTCTGAAATAAATAGGGAGAGAGTGGGAGGCGGATAGAAGAGGGATAGAGGAGAGGATAGGTGGAGAGGAAACAAACAGGTCGAAGAGGCGGGGATGGGGCCAGTAAAGGTGAGTGTAGGTAGGGAGTTAGGAAGGGGATAGGTCAGTCCAGGGAGGACGGACAGGTCAAGGGGGTGGGATGAGGTTAGTCGGTAGGAGATGGAGGTGCGGCTTGAGGTGGGAGGAGGGGATAGGTGGGAGGAAGAACAGGTTAGGGAGGCAGGGACGAGCTGGACTGGTTTTGGGATGCGGTGGTGGGGGGGAGCTCGAACAGTTCATCCACTTCACTAACACCTTCCACCCCAACCTTAAGTTTACCTGGACCATCTCTAACACCTCTCTCCCCTTCCTGGACCTCTCTGTCTCCATATCGGGCAACCACC